GTCTGGCAATCTGATTGTACAGGAAACAATGGAAATATGATCCAGTAAAAATATAAAAATTATTGCTATTCCACTAAATAAATATATTAAGTTTTGTTCTTTTACTAATGGTACTGATTATCTGAGATTATCTCATATGTCCACTTAAAATGTCTTTAAACTGAGAAAAATAGTGGTGAGCTATTTGTTTTTTAAATACAATTTGTATTCATGAGGAACTTGGAAGAGTCTGAGGATGTACTAATCTTTACAATTTAGAAACAAGTACAAAACCTTTTGAGCTTCTTTCACACACAACCTTAAAAGAAATTGTGTCTGGAATTATCAAATTGTTCTAGGATACATAACATTGAATTCAATTTCCCTCTCAGCCATGAACCTATAGTGAGGTCTCAAAGTTTATGAATTTTAAATTTTCAGTATTTTTTCATAAATGCAGCCTAAACCATGCAATTAAACAAAAAAGTCAAAAACATTACACTTATTCATTTATTTATTAAAGAAAATAATCCAAGCTACATATTTGTGTGTGGCAAAAGTATGTGAGTCATACACTTAATAAACGGTTAAAGCAGAAGAAAGTTAATGCTTGGGAGTGGTCAAGTCAAAGTCCTGACTTAATGCTAGAAATTAAATCCTTGTGGAAGGACTTGAAGCAAGCAGGTTCGTATGAGGAAGCCAACCAAAATCCCTAAGTTGAAGCTCTTCTGTAAGGAGGAATGGGTTAACATTTAGAACTGATCATCAGTTGTCAGAAATGTTTAGTTGCAGGCCAAGGGTGGGCACGTCAGAAAGAAAAAGTTCCCATACTTTTGCCACACACAATTATGTAGCTTTGGATCATTTCCTCAATAAAACAATGAACAAGTATAATATCTTTGTTTAATGTCATATTTAGACAGAAACATTGAACATTCAAAACAGTTCTCAAACATTTTAGTAGACTGGGAATTAGGGTGGGTGGCTAAAAACCAGACACACCACATTTCATTACATTGTTACCAGAATGTTTTTGTCTAATAATTAAGGGGGACCCAAGCTCACTTTTATGAAATATAAAATCTATTTAATATCCAAATCAATTGCCAAATATGGAGAATCCATATTAAATCTGTTTTATATGAAATACAGGCCATAACATGAAAATAAATAAAGAAGCAAAAAAGAAAAGAAAAGGCTGAGCCTGCTATGGGATGTCCCAAGGGACAATTACAGTGTAGGGTGTTTGTGTTATTGTTTTTGATTTTATGATTGCTGTTTATTAGTTTTACGGTTGTTGTAAGCCGCTCATTTTTTGCTTAAGCAGGGATGCTTAAGATAGATGGCCATATAAATCTAATAAATAAATAAATCTTATGGTTGTTTAATATTTAATTTAGCTTCAGAGATTAAAAATGTCTAATTGAGTCTTTTTAAAACAAGTTTTAACACGCTTACTCAGTGTGTTAAAAGTTCAACACAGCTCCAACAAGAGTTATTCAGCTGCTCAAGATCTTCTATATTTAAAATGCATAAGGACAAAGCCAACCTTAACCTTTTAGAAGATTGTAAAATGAATTGATTCAATTTATAACATCAGGGTCAACAGAATTATGTGAAGCTTAGTAACTCAGTATACCAAAGGAACGCCTTTTTTAAGCAGACTTCTTACAAACAGCAGTGCCTTTGGGGCACATTTCAAAGATCTATAACACTGTGTCCATAACCTAATTTTTGCACCATCACAATAGTTAATTATCAACAGATCATACTTTTGAGACTGCAATTCTACAGGCAGCTCAGACACACAGTACACCCACTGCTATGATTCTAGGTCTCCTCATAACCCCCAAATAGCCATAATGCTTTCCTGAGATAGCATGCCATTTTAATTGGCATTCAAGAAACTTAAAAACACAGGATTATTTTAAGACAGGGGCAATCTATGCATTTTAACTGACACTCAAACTATGAAATAACATGAGAAAATTAGATTAAATGCCAATTTAAGATTTTATTCCAGTTAAATAATGCTAACCTCAAGGAAACATTTATATGTTTAAAAGAATCTTGCTAAAAGACAAGATTATTACGGTTTAAATGGAATCTCCAATACCTATTCAGTATTCTAGCCATGATATTCTATTATTTTTTCCATCCCACTTTATTTCTTTCCACCAGACCCAAAACAATCAATATCTAGTGGCAAATAAAAAAACTAGAATTTAGTAAATATTTTGTTAAAGATACACACAGAATCACATTAAGATGGATTTATTAAATCTATGGATATTCAAACAAAAGGTCAGTGATGTTATTTATTTTATACAGATCCACTAATCACGAGAAATAATTGAAACCATAGCCTTATTTGACATAGCATTCTTCAACTGTAAATAATTACACTTACTTCTGAATAGACAATGAAAAACCCGCACTGTATCAATTATCCCAGAATTAATTTTTTTTTAAGTGTAAAGGTAAAGGCTTCCCTTGTCCAGTCATGTCGTGTCATGTGGGGATGGGTGCTCATCTCCATTTCAAGGTGAGGGAGCCAGCATTGTCTAAAGACATTTCCGTGGTCAGGCAGCCAGCGTGACTATTTGCTGAGGTGCAAGGAATGCCATTACCTTCCCATTAAAGTGGAACCTATTTTTTTATTCGCATTTGCATGATTTCAAACTGCTAGATGGGGAGGATCTGCGACAATGGGAGCTCACCCCATTGAGGTTTATTCAATTTACATGTTAAAAATGAAAGCTGCAATACTAAAATTCATCCAGAAGTTAATTGCTTATAATTCTACATTGGTATGCATACAAAGTCATTGAATCATTTTTTCTTTATTAAAAACTCATTTAAAGAAGGGAAGTTGAATGATTACTCCCCTCCCATTTTATAAGAAATCACTTTGTTATGATTATGAAAAAAATATGGGAGATGATAAAACTGAAATTAAGTGGAAAACATCAAAGAGGCCTTCCTGCTTTTCCATTTGTCAGTTGAAACACTGCTCAGTGATGTTTTAAGCATCAATTTCACCGGAAAAACTTGTTCAACAAGTAAAACTTTGAATGTCATTCACATATAAAATATGTGAATATTTTCTAAAAGCAAACATTAATCAGTTCAAGCTTTCTGTATTAATAATTATCATATGCTATTTGTTAAAAGTACTGATTGTGTCCATCTGTTAATTGAATGATAACACTTAGCAGTTCCCTTCTGAACATAGTACAGAACTAATTTTTAAAGTTGGGGGCGCCCTCTGGAGCAGACTTGTGGCAACACAGGTGAGACAAGTGGAAAAAAGCAAACAAGCAATTATCTGTTGCTTGTTAATGTAACATTTTATCTTATTATGTAATTTGACTGATACATCTTCAGAAATCACAATTTTATTAAAGAAGTCCTAACAATATTAATCAATTAGATTTGCTTCTTCTTCCCATTAACAAATCCAGCAACGTTTTCCTACAATAATTTTTAAATTTGGTGCTAACTAGGTTTATTTATCATACAAACTGGTTTTAGTAATGCCTAATTAAAATGAAATACTGATTACATAAGACTTTGATATACAAATTAGCAGTTCATTACACTATCTGACTACTTGCTGAGGAATTTTTTAGCTTTCTTTAGCTTATAGTTCCTTTTTGTTAATTTTGTTTTATTTTATGGTACTATTTACTGATATGAAATCCTTCAATTTTATGATAATGAAAGTTTGCTTTTGGGATGAGTTTGTAGTAAAAATCACCATTTAGTGTCATCCAAAACAACCATAGAACAGAAACTAAACAATACTGGAGTAAATCATACATTATTTTACTAACTATACTATGTACTATTTTAGATTCAGGTTGGTGTCATAAAATGAATATCATGAAAGTTAATTTTTAATTTTATTAAAGGGAAAGATCTTGATGACAAGTCCAATTAAGTCCATCAATATAATATAAAAATTCATTATTAGATACTTAACAACAATATTTTCTTGTTTCTTTTAAGGGATACTCAAGATTATGCAGGATGTTCAGTTTGGAATAATAATTCTATTTTTCTAGCTAGTTTAATCCTGTTTTTTGACTTTTATTTAAAAACTCATTGAAGTCCACTATATTCTCACTGGTCTAAATTTAGATAGGACAGCAAGTTTGGTAGCAAAAATATTTAGAAATTCATACAGATGAAACTCTCTGAATCTACAAAAAAATTGTGTCTAAAGTGATGCAATGAGTTGGAACTGGATGTCAGGTGAAACAAAGTCTCTTTTTCTCTCTTCAGGATTACTAACAGAACAAAAAAAACTGTACATAATTTCAGATTTAATCAATTGTACACACAAATTGAATTTTATTTTCAAATTTCAATAAATATATATGCTGAAAATACAAGTAAAAAATAGGAAAACTCTGCATGGTTCCAATTTCACTATATCAATTAGTCTATTACACTATATTTTCCTCAGGCAAGATGAAAACATTTGCAGATAGACTTGAATTTATGGTAGTAACACTTAGGTCATAGCACCATATTACAAATTCCATTCAGCTCCCCGTCCTCCCCCAAGTTTATTTAGTAGGCAAAGAGAAAATATACAAGTATTTATTATATTTGTCCAATAACAGGAAGGGATACCGAGGGAAAATTTCTTCCTGCCCAGAGAGCTTACAATCTAAATAGTTTCATGCTGATGAAGTAAACATTCATTATTAACAAATTCTAACAGTTACAAAAACATTATTTGAAATGGCAGAATAAGGTTCCCAACTTTAAAAGCCCAAAATTGTGTCATATTAAATGTTGCTTCTTAATTTAAGATGGCCTAAATAAACCTTAAGATTTTCATCTGATCTTTAATAAATTTTTCTTAAAAGAAGAAGAGAAACCACAATTAATGTTGAATCAGATTTTTAGATGTCTGTGGCTCTACCTGGAGACGAAGGTCTCGATTTCATTCAATTTCTGCATGCCTCACAAACATCTTAAGAAAACCCTGGAGTAGGGACAATACTTACAGCTTTAGCAAAAATGACCATGAGTTCTGGAAACTGGTGTGTGAGAAGGGCTAACATTGCTGTGAAAGAACATAGCCCTGCTGTAAAATGGATGAAAAAAGGAAGATCTTTCTGGGGATATACAGACACATCATGAAATGCTGAAAGAAAGAAAGGAAAACCAATTATCTGATGAATTAGGAATTGTAAATGATTTTATGTTGCCACATTTTAGTTCACAAAAGCATACTTGAGGCTTTTCTACTGTAATGAGAATCATAATTGTTTTCTTAAATTTCATTTTAAATAAAACATAGGAGTTGAAGACTAATCATTCTTGAACACTATTCAAGTAAAATTTGCTCTAAATAAAGATTACTAAAGGGGTTGGTTAAGAGCAGGAACACATTTTATCAAACTTTCAACAAGCTGAAAGAGGACTCTTAAAAAACAGGCCTGTTGAGTATTCTTTCTACCTTTCCTAAATTGAACATGCCAAAGCAGTTTAAATATTTGTAAAATATTGCTACAACTATATATTGTGTCACTCCAGCTATCTACTGGGTTAGGAAACATTTATAACTTATATCATAAGTTATAAGGAATATAAATCTTTCACATATTTGGTTGTTTTTAATACTGATTTTTTATATTGTATTTTTATAGATTTAATCTGTAATTGCATTGATGTTTATTTTAATGAATTTATTATTAATACTGAATTTAATTACAGTAACTGGATTTTATTTATTTATTAAAATTGGGTTTTACTGTCACAATTGTACTCTTTTTATATACTGTATGTTGTTCTCATATCTTCAGTTCATACGGGATTCAAAAATCTCCAGATTTCTCTTTTATACTATCACAGGTAGAAGCCAGGATAGATTTCTGAACTTCTCTTTTAAGTCTCTGTACTTTAAACTAATAATAACTATAGTATCTTATATACCTAAAATATTCCATTCAAATAGAGATTTCCCAATACATTTGTTTAAAAAGTTCTTTCTTTTTCAGGTAAAGAAGTAAGCATTAGTAATATTACATATGTATGTATGTATGTATGTATGCATGTATGCATGTATATGTGTATGTGTATGCGTATATATATGTATATGTGGTTATTTGGTTATTTGGGTTTTCTCCCGCGTAAAATTGGAAGTATCCTGGTGATGTTTCGATGAAATCTCATTTGTCATCTTCAGGCTTGTGTCTTCGGCTTTGTGCTTCTCGGAGTAATGTAAGCTTGCAGCTGCTTCTTCCTTTTAACTGCTAGTGGGGGTGTGACTTGATTGAGTGGGGTCTTGGCTGTGTTCTGATTGGCTGGGGGTGTGTTCTGTTCAGGTGGGGGCTTGGTTGTGCTCAGGTTAGTCTTAGTTGCTGGGGGATTTGAGCTGGTGAGCTGTGATCCTGTTGTTTGGCTTTGCATTCGTGGTCGTGCCACATCTTCATGGTGGGCGTACGTTCGCTTCATGTATGGGTCAGAGGGGTTTGAAGCGGGTAGTGATGTAGCTGCGGTACAGCTTCTGGTCCGTGGTCGTGTCTCATCATCTGTGTGGGTGTGAGTCTGCTTTCTATGTGGAAGTATGGTGGTAGCATCTTGTGTCGCCCTCGTGGGTGTGGGTCTGATGTCATTCTTCATGTTAGGTACTCATTTGTTAATGAAGGCGAGTTTCCAAATGGCTGGTAGGTGGGAGGTATCATCTTGTTTATTCATGCTGTGTGGGCGTTTTTCTATCTCTATGGCTTCTCTGATTATTCAGTTGTTGAAGTGTTCAGTTTTGGCGATAGTTCTGGTATTTTTAAAGTCAATCTCATGTCCTGTGGCTTTGAGGTGTTGGACCAGGGAAGAGGTCGGTTCTTCTTTTTTGATTGAGTTCTTGTGAACTCAAGAACTTATTTTTTTTTTTTTAAACCAGACTAAATTATTATTTTACAAAACCTCAACAGCAAGTACTATGAAACAATAGTTTATAAGGCTTTACATTATGTGAAAAATTTACACCCAGCAACAGAAAAATTAGTAACATATTTTCAGACTGCCTAACCCCAACAGTCAATCCTTAAAAATCTTGCAGGGATTTAATTCATGTTTATGATAAACTAGAACAGAACCACAGTGCTGCAGACAAACAATATAATCTTTGATGCCATTATTATGCAAATGATTAAACGAACAGCATTAATTTAAAAGGAGTTTTTAAATTATCTAGAAAATTAGATATATGGAACTATAGGAATTATATGTAAGAACTTTTTAAAGATATTGTCTTCCATTCCATAATCAACTGACTTGCTTCAACTAACTCTAACCCTAACCCTGATCCTAATTGTGGTCGTTACTCAAGGACTACCTAACTAAACAGCATAATATCACTGTAGTTAGCATGGAATACTGCATACAGTATTTGTATAAAGAGAGTAACAGTCTAATTTTTATCTGATTAAAAAAGAATTATATAAAATCTACAGATGACAAAACTGTGAGTAGTGGAGTCAATATCCAATAATCATGGTTTCATTTCTTCCTTTGATACATTCTTGACTGTATGCTTAATTCCAAGGTAGTACATTGTATTGCATATAGATTCAAAATACTGTGAGACATGATGTATGTATGCATGCATCTATATATGTATGTATGTGTATCTATATGAAAAACTAATAGAGGGAAAAGAATGAAAGTAATGGCTGGACGGAGTTAAGATTTTAAATGACAGAAACATAAAGTGAGCTCTGTTGGTATTAAACAGATTAATTTTAGTTTAATTTTTCCTTTTATTATCTCCTATCTCCAATTCTTTTAGTCACTACTTTTTATTTTCTTCTTGCCTCTCCAAAAATGGAGTAGGAATCTTTGTATCATTCTACACTGCCGTGTTTCTCATATAATAAGGCCAGGTGTTATTTTTTTTTGAGCCCCGAAAAAATGGCTAGGCCGTCTTTTGGGGGGTGACTTAATTCCCCCCCCCTTGCATCTTTGGGTGGGCGGGCAGCGATGGCTTGGATGTTGACCTCAGCATTGGTGGGGCACTTCGTATCGAGGTCAACGCAGGCAGCACCATATCCGGGTGTGCAACAAAAGTACTTCCTAATGGCAAGCCCCCCCACCATTCCCCCCCCCCATTTCGCATGTTTTAATATAGGCCTTAATTTGGGGGGAGGGGCTTAATTTCATTTCATGCCTATAAAACATGCTGGGACTTCCTATTGGGGGAGGCCGTATTGTTGGAGAAACAGGGTATTCATATATGTTCAAATTGCCAGTAAAGAAAGAAGCAACTGAAAATGCCTTACTATTGACTCAGATCCAAGCAGTTCCTTTAAAGTAATCAAACCCACAAGATCACTGGTATAATTTACCATTCCTATAGTTTGAAAGCTTTGTTCAATAAATGCTTCAAATGTTTGTTTTGATCCAAGAATGTGAGAACAAGCACCACCTAATGTGATTCCCTTGTACTAAACAATTAATCAAGAATGTATCAAAGGAAGGTTATTTTATTTTGTTCAGCTGAATCAAAAATATGACTTTAATTCAAAAATACAGAGCATTTATCACATATTATACTTTTATATCTTGGAAATAAAGGAATATTGCAAGTTATTTTCATGTATTATTTTTTATTATTATTTTGGTCTCCAAATGCTATTAGTATACAGTTCTAACTTTCCTGATGACTGATTATTCAAGCCATTGCTCATGGAAATCAGAAGACCAAGAACAGGTTAAAGAACTAAGGTTTCTCACCATGCTTTATAAAGTAAAAATTTCAATGTAGAAAGGGAGCGGCACTGCAAAGACTGCACATGTAAAATTTAACATAAAGAGAGATCGATATAGCAGATCGATACTACTCTTCCTGATTGTCATATTTAAAATTAAAAATATTTAAACCTACAGATTTATGGAATGTGTTTGCATAGAAATACATTATACAAATGCTATACCTTAGATAAAGAAAAAATGTATGAAAAAAGCCACTTACTTGGTAATAACTCTCTATCTGCTGTCTCTGTGCAACTGGGATAGGGATAAAATAGATGACCCTTTTCTAATGGATATGGAATCATTCTAAATGCTGAAAGAGAGGTAAAAATGATTGGTAAAATATCAAGTCATAGAAAAACTACTTTATAATTTCTACAAATTGAGTGTTTTTTTATCAGGGCAACCCGGGGGGATTCAAATTTCTTAACAACTGGTTCTGTGGGTGTGGCCTAGTTTGCAGGTGTGGCTTGGTGGTCATGTGACTGGGTGGGTGTGGCTTGTATGTAAATAATATAAATATTTATGTAAATATTGATTTTTTTTATAAAAAAGAGCAACTTTTATCCAAAAGCAGGCAAAGCAGGCAGACAGATTGAATTGCTCACAGAATCACAGATTGACTTAGAGATCTATCTATCTGCAATCAGCTACCTGAGTCTGCACTGAAAAACTTCAATCTTAAGGAAGGTTCGGCTCTGCTTTTACATTAGCTAGAAAGCAAGAAATCCAGGGATTTCCTGCTTTCTAGCTAATCTAAATCTCTTGGCAGAGCAGAACAGCTAATGGTTGGGGGGGGGGGGAAGGAAAAATAGCAACTTACCAAACCAGACAAGTTGGATGGCTCTCATGCCAGGTAAGGAGTGAATGGGCGGGAAGGGGAGGGGCCAGCCAGTGGAGCGAACTGGGGACAATCATGTGTGCAGTGTTTGCAAGAAATCATCAGCTGTGCCACCTGGACAGCTGACAAGTGCTGCGCTCGGGTGCGCGTTTGAAAATCCTGGTTTCTGGCTTTTTCACCTCAGCTATGCCGCGCAAAGCAGCTGAGGAGGGAAAAGCAGGGAATAAAGGACAGCCTAGAGCCCGGGAAGGCGGGTGGGCCAAACACCAAACCGGTTCGATGTCAGCTGCTCTTCGCAGCTACAAGTTCTATAGAACCAGGCTGAACCGGTAGCATCCCACCCCTGGGGCAACCTGTTCTACCCAAATATGGGACAGAACATACCACTTCTGCTTCTGCCTTTTAGCACCAATCTAGGAGCCTTCACAGGCGGTTGCTTTTGCAACGAACTATTTTTTGTGTTAAATTTATATTTACTGACAAAGAAATAAAGGGAGACTAGTATAGATCCATTTCAAGCTATTTAGCTCTTATCAGCTAGCTATACCTTTCTGGTATTCAAACCTGGGCTATTTAGATAATAGCTTAGGTAGATGTATTTAGCTCTCATCTCAATTTCTACAAATATTACATATATAGGATCTTGATAAAATCATTTCTCAGTGTAAAGTTTATAAAAAAGGATAAGAAACTTATCTATGAAAATTTTGAAAGTATTATCAGTATAAAATACAGTGTGATTTGTCTAGCAGCCACCAAAAAAATACAAAGGAGGGTTTCAAAACAGATATTTAACAGGAAAACATACTTAACTTTTCTTTGACGAACCTGCAATCAAACTCTTTTTAAGCAATGCCATCATTTCTTCATCAAATCCACTAAATTTACTTTTAGTAACCTAGTAACATTTTTCACAAACTGAACGGTATTTTAATATTGCAAATAGCTGAATATTTAACAGTGTAAGATCACTGTGATTCAAATAAAAACAATGATGCTTCTGACCTCTTTGATTTCAACAACTGCCTTCAGGGTGACATCTAAATATTGTTAGACAGGAAAAAAAAATAAACCTCAAAGTATCTTACAAACTATATTGTGTTACTTTGATATAGAGGCTTTGCTTTCTATATAGCCTAATAATGAATTAAGGACTCTATTCCATTCAGAAAAGCTTTCTTGGATGATACAGTATAAACAAAGCAGTAATTGCAATGCAGGTATTTTTAAAAAGTATGCCACAGTAGGATGGTAAAAAATGGTTTCTATATTTCTATATATTAGATTTTTCCATAATTTAAGCGTGAGAATTCCAAAGTGTCTGGAAATTGATAGTGAAAATTAATTTCTGATTCTATTTCTATACAGTTTATTTACAAAATCATCTCCAGAAATCAGCAATTTCCTCTATGTGTTCCGAAAACAATAGATATCTTTAGGATATGGTCAAAAAATATTACCAAGCTTGGCTGCTTGTGATGGATTTATAAGAAATTTAAGGAGATTTCTTATAATCCATCTTTTTCTAGATTTCTAACAAGTCTAAAATGAAAACAACAGTTTGACTTAAGTTTCCCAATAAAGGAAAGATTAAATTCAGTGAAATTTGGGGAGTTAAAGAATGTCATTTTATTTAAATGCATTTTATTTAGCAGCTTTAAAAACATAAATGTGGAAAAGCAGACTAATAAGTATCTGTTCAAAAGAGAAATAAGGTGAGGGAAAAAGAGATTTATGAATTCTTATTTTCCTTAGGAAAAAAACTTCTAAAGCAGACATCAATTCCATCTAAGGTTTGTAATGCTAATAACAACTGTCTTTTTGCTATAAGTCAACAAGAGATCATGGTTTCAAATTCTAATTTACTATCAAGCTGTCGTTTATGTAAGCCATCAACAGATTATGGCTTTAAACTATAATCCACTACCATTAAAACAAAGTGATCAATTCAAAGATCCTGCTAAAATGTGTCAGAGGACATTTTACTATATTAAGTTATTGTATTGCATTAGACTAGTAAAAAAAAAAGTTTGTATTACTGACAGAATACACTTACTGCCTTCCCATGTGCAGTGCAGCAAGTTAAGGGCCCCTTCTATTCGCTTCCAGTGCTGAAGATGGAAGAATGCGTAGGCTACTGCTTCACTGTCCCCACGCTTCAGAATGTGCTCAGGAGGCAAAATTAAGCTTTTCATTTCTAGCAAGTACTGGAAGAAAAAATGAGAAGTGATGAGAAACTATACAGAACACAACACATAAGTGTTTTCTTTGTAAATATTTTTAAATTGCTTTAATATGGATTTATGTACCAGAAAGAGAAAACTCTGCTTGTAAGAAAATGTGAATTATTTTGCAAATTCAATTTAAAAAAAAAGGGGGGGGGGAATATTACAAAAGTATAGTATCACATACTTTCATACATATAAATCGAAAGTGATGTGCTTGGTCATTATAGTTGGGAGTTATCCATCACCAAATAGGTTTCAAATGAGTCTCAAATTCCTATACTGAAAAAAGCAGCAAATTTTAAAACTGATGTTTTTGATGCAATGTCCTTCCTTCTATCCTTGTTGTGGTACGCCAGTAGCAGGTACGGATGGCAGAGGTCTCTGATAGTGAGGATTCGGACAAGGGGCCTGTGTGTGATGCAGGGAAGGGGCCAGGACTATCGGAGAGTGAGGTGCTACCTTTGGAGCTTGTGGACTCTGGCAGCAGTGACGCAGAGGACCCCAGGGAGCCTGTGCCCAGTGCACGTGCGCACAGGGCTGCTCGAAAGAAAGAGCAGCTGAAGCAGCAAGGGTGACTTGGGAATAAGGCTGGAAGGTGATGGCCCCTCCCATAAGGGATAAAAACCAGCCCTCGGGGATGTGTTCTTTTCAGGAAGCAAAGAAGTTCTTTAGACTCATAGTCTTCATTGAAGCCCTGCTTACTCCAGTTTGTTTTTGAAACTTCTGTCAGTGGAATTTAATCAGTAATTAGTCTTCTGTTCTTGGCAGCCTTTTGCAACCTTGAAAGGGCTTGCTTTTGATATCAATTAGGTTTAAATATTTCTTGGCTGGGAATGCACTGAATTTCCAGTGCCACATTAAAAAAGGTTTGCTTTTATACACAATTTGTATGTGTTTAATTTGAACAAGGCTTGGGTCAGAACAGTCCTAGTATTGCAACTGAAGATACTTTCTTATTGAGTTCATTATTGATTCTAAACCTGAAGCAGAAAGTAAAATAAATGCATATAATAAATTATTTTCAAATACTTAGAATGTACTTGTAAATGAAACTAATAACTATTTCCTTCCAGTGTTATTTCGGATTCTTATCACCCAAAAAATACTGTCATGCCCTGAAAATATTTTATGCATGTGAAAGTCCAAATATTTATAACCATTTAATTAACTAATGTCTACAATTTATGAACTAGCCCACTCCATTTAGTAATAGTTAATTCAATTTCATATTTGAAGTATTAGGTACAGTATTTGATTGTACCCAATACATCTGTTGATTCTAAAAATATAACTAACAAAACTCTAAGAATGTAACCAAGTTGTTATGTATCCATCAGTTGTGGTATCCATCAGATACACAAACAAAGTAATTATTTACTAATCCAGTTTAGAGGATTTAACTTTCCCCATTCCAGTTCTTTAAGGAATATAGCAAAGTTGCAGTGGTCAAACCAAATGCATTTACTGCCTGACTGATTCTTCTCTTAGTGCTTGAGTCTATTTACTGGAGGGCAATACTCTTACTAATCCTATTTAATTCTTCTTGATCATTTCTTTAAACCACTAAGGAATCATTCACACATTGTCATAATGTGAAAGTGGCATCAAATATTCAGCCTCTGCTATTATTGTTTTTAGTCCATGAAATCATTAGCTTGGTGTTTGTTTATAGTTTTTAGACCCACAGTTACCTTTGATTAAAATAATCTTTTAATCAAAGTTAAAAGTGGGTCTAAAAACTCTGACATATTATTTTCCACAGTCCCTTGACATATAACTCACAATAATACAAAAAATGAACTCTGAAAGTTATACTAGATAAGAATATAAAATTATTACTATACTAGTTTTCTTGATATGTGATACCAGTCAGAAGTACATAAAACATATTAAACACCTCAAAGACACAGTAGTCCAGAAGAAATAGGACAGACACCTAATTCTTGGATAATAATACATCCCAGTCTCCCACCCTAACGGCAGAAGTAAAGAAATGAGACTGCCTGAAATGAATTTGCTGCTCTTTTGATCAGTCATGCAAGGAAGCAGAAAATCCTTACAGCAATTAGCTCTCCCAATGCATATTCAAGAGAGTAGATGAATAAAGTCAAACCTTAAGGAAAGAATTATTTGGACACCCTGATTATCAAAAGAGGATTAAGTCTAGGGATAAGCCATCCTTCTATTACTAAGGCTGTAAGGGTAATATATTATCAGTGACAACAATGGCTATTTGAAGTTCCAATTACTGTATACACATTTATTTAGGAAAAGATGAATTGGGCATAAAATTTCTCATTCTCTTTTTTTCCCCCATTGGGCAATACAGATTTTACAGAAAGTCTTTAATCTGTTACACTTATATTATATAAAAATAAATCTAAGTATTCCAAATATGCTCAAATTAAGAATAATGTATTCATATAAATATTTTTATATTTCCCTTACACAAACTAAGGATAGAATCCTTTGATTTACATACTGGGATAACCATGGAACTGCCAATGATAGAAAGAATGCTTTTTTATAACGGTCATACAAAATTATGGTTACCGGGATTTACAATTATTTTCCCACTTGTAAGTGTAATCATATATAGAAATCCTAGAGGAAGCAGATTATCCAGAACCTTTCCAGTCTGATTTCAGACTGGGACATAGTACTATGACAGCATTGATTGTCCTTTTGTGGAGTTGTGGGGGATGTATCCATCCTGGCCTTTCCTGATAATTCAATGGCCTTCAATATTTTTGACCATGGCAGTTAAGTTTGGGATTTTGGTGGTTCAACTTCTTCCTCTTGCTTTTTCCCCATGTTGTCTCCTGGATTTTATCTGATTATTTTAATGGGATTTATTGCAAAGTTGTCTATTCACACATATTTCATGCATAATATATTATGTAGAGAAATGATTTTAAAAAATTATAAAATACACAAATTCTTTTGGCATTTAGAAGATCAGTGAAGATCCTCTTTCAATCCTAATTAAATGTCATCAGCATTTAATCAGCACTTGTCTCTGAAGAGGGAGGTGAGGAATGTTAAGGATGTACTTACCTTTGGAACATGAGGATTAAATTCTACTGCTCTATGTATTGCTTCTACAGCATTAATTTCGGCTGTGCTAAGTCCCCTTCTAGAAGCTGTTTCTGGAGAAAACCTATAGCAATATTCCAAATTTGTTATATTACAAAACAGAAACAATCCATAATCTAGCATCTTAAAAGATAAAGCAATGAAAAAAAATGATAGGAGCAAAAATTCAAATTAGTAGTATTAATATCCTTATACCAGAAAATTGTAATCCAATAAAGAACTAAGCTTTTTTTCTACTTATCAAATAAATATATATGTGCATCTCAGATACATGAAGTTTTCCTTGCTTCACAGTTTCAGGCAAAATATTGATAAAGATTGTTTGGCTTGATATGTTGTAAGCATCCAGCCCTTGTGGTTAGTGTTTTGCAATTCTATCTATTTATAGCTATTCAATGGGTTATTGAATAAATACCTATTGAATAACCATAAATAGAATTGTGAAACACTGAATAAACTCAATATATAGCTAAACTAGTCAGGCAAGCTAAATCAAACTTCATTTTTAATTACTCTACATAGTCTCAAACCATCTTCCTATAGCTACAGAAATCAAAATGGCAAACAAAATTTTAGGTATGGCTCCCCCAAAGCCTCCCAACATTTTCTTCTGAATTTTAATTTTAAATATATGGATAGTATGCATATCAACTAATTTAAGTCATTTTATTTACATTTAAGCAAATCAATTTTATGTTAACCAAGTTTTATCCCCTTTTGAATGCTTCTCCCAGCATTTCACTCAAAGGCTATATGTAGCCCTTGGCTTGAATAAGATGGTATACATATGGCAAAAGTCATTGCTAACTCAGAATAATTAATTAGAAAACCAAACATTTGTAATTCGCTTTGTCACTTCCCATAACATCACTTCCCATAACAGTTTTGAAGTGGTTGTTTAGAAATGAATAGTGTGGATATCTACTATATATGGTAACAATTGAATTCATCTGCCTATATATTGTATATGTCTATATTCCAATTGCTATTTTAGCAGCAATTTGGCAGGAAAGAAAGATTTTATGAAAAAGATTTGCTATAAAAAAGGCATTATTTTAGAATAATAACATTGGCTAAATGCTATGTTGATTTTTTTTTAAAAAAAAGACAACAAAAGACATTTGATTTATGTTATCGTTTATATCAATTTGGAAGTAAAATTGCCATGATGCAACAATGAAAATGTGTTATAACTGCTTTCTGTATATCAGTATGCCTATCAAATATTTCACTTACCTATCTGAAACTGCTCTTGCTTTTAAGAGTGCTGCTGTGTAACATATTGCTGCTGATTTTGGAAGGCTGATATCTATGGAATAATAAATGGTTGTCTTTAGATCCTAAAGTAAGAAACATTTCAAAATCATTCCTTCCCTGAGCAGCTATTTATACAGGAAATTATCTCTATATTAAATATATGAGACTAAAATCTGAAAGACAAAAATCAATTATATACTTCTTACAATGTTTCCACATTTAGTATATTCAACCAAGTGTTGCAGTGAGCATACTAGATTTGGGCTGGGGAGATTGATTGATTGCTTTTACAAATTTATATAGCCATGCATCTCCTAATGGAACTCTGAGCAAGAATAGAATATAAAACACAATACACAACACAACCATTTTAAAAATCACATTGATGCCACTATAAAAAGCACCTTATTAATATGTCTCTCTACAGGTACCAGGTTCCATTAACTCAATTGACATTCCTACAAACCTAGAAGTAAGTCTTCATGGTTTTTCAAAAGCCCTTTGGGGATGAGACCTTAGAAATCTCTAGGACAAAGCTATTTCATAAGGCAAGTATTATAATCAGGAAGTCTGGCTTCCAAAAACCCACCAGGTAGTAGTCTTTTACTAAGGGAACCTGAAGCATGCCCATTCCACTGGATTTAATATGAGAGAGAAACCTTTTGGGCACTGGCAATCATGCAAATGACCTCAACCCATATACTCTAAATTAGAAGCATACTGGGACCCAGGATAGCTCATCTGGCAGTAGTTACATGGGGCCTCCAATACTGCATGTGCTGCATCATTCTGGACCACCTAAAGGTTCTGAATGCTTTTTAAGGGCAACCCCATATACAGTGCACTGCAATAACCCAACTGGCAAGTGATTAGGGTATGAGTGACAATGACCACTGCCTCCCAATCCAGGAATAGGTGCAAATGGAGCATAGGATGCATTTGTGCAAAGGCCTACCTGGTCACACCTGCTAAAGGCACTAGTGCAAAAAGATTCCAGATCAAGCACCATGTCTGAAGAACTGTTAACCCATCCAAAATTAACAATGGAAGATCATTAGATTCATGGCGGAGGGGAAGACTTAAAACCCTCACCTGCAACTGTACCTGCTCCTTCTGCTCCTCCGCCTGGCTCAGAAGGAAGCCTTCCGCCAGGGCCACCACCTGGGAGCTGGTCTCTGCTCCACACTCCCGCACCCAGCCCTCCATCTCTGGGGGTAGAAGGAACAGGAGCTGCTCCAGAACAACCAGGTCCAGAACAACCAGGTCCAGCAGTTTTGAATTAAAGAGATTCAAGTCCCCACCTGATCACAGAGCTCACTAAGTGACCCTCAGCAGTTACTTTTTCTCAATTTAACCTAACTCACCAGTTAAATGTGTAGAAATAAAAATGATCTACAATGTTGAGAATCCAAGAGAAAAGTCAGGATATAAATGAGGTAATGAGGTAAAAATGAATATAGTAATATTTAATAATGGATTTCTACAACAAAAGTTCAGTGCTCCAAACAGACCTAAGGAGCTTTTGTTATGTTAAGTCAGGAATGTCAAACTCAATTTCAATGAGGGCCACTTCAGGGTTGTGCTTGACCTGAGAGGACTGGGATGGGTGTGGCCAGGGTGGGCATGGCCAGCTCAATGTCACACGTGTTGGGGGGGGACTGTGGTGGCTCAAGCGCTCTGCCAGCGAAACGGGCTCCCAAACTCCATTTTGGCAGGCAGTAGCATCACGGGCCGGTTCTTCGCTGTTTCTAGGACATCCCCTGCAGATCAGAACTAAGTACACCACAGGCCGGGTCCGGGCCCTGGGCCTTGAGTTTGACACCCCTGTGTTAAGTGATCTGCCTAAGGGTAGGGACTTTACAAAAGTAGGCTATATGTAGTTTTAAAACAAATTTCCCTTGCTATGATTTGAATTATAGCTACAACAAAGAGAGAAATGCATGATCTATATTCTACTCTTTTGAACCAGTTGCAAGTTACTATTTTATTTCAGTTTGGTATTATCTATAACTTTTATTCTTCTTGATTACTAAAGATCCACATAGCCAGTGATTTTGCTTTATAAATATGTGTTCCTAACATTCATTTACTTACCAGTCTTCTTTATGTCAAACAATCACCATCACCTAATTTTCTCTCCTACACAATCTTACTACCCTCCCCATTCCCACTGTTTATTGCCAATGCAGAAACATAAAGTTCATAATTATTATACATTCTTACCATCATACTTTGCTAAAACTGCCTGGACATCTGCATAAGCCTGTAGTTCCAGAAGTGTTTCTAGCAGGTTTTCATGGATATTCAATACACTTAAGACAGGGAATTCTTTCATTAACTATAAACAGGGGAAGGAAAATATTTTATGTACAATTAAAGTTTTGGTAAAAATGAGTGTAGTTTACAGAGATGTAGACAATACAAATTTCCAAATGTTTTCTTTAGTGCCAGAAGCTGAAAGGCAGAAGAGGGTAAGCAAAATTTCTTGCCAACATGCAGCTATTCCACTCACAAGCCTAACCAATACAAGAGAAAAAATAAGCTGTGATTTCATTTAAACTGACACCAAGTCACAAAAACCAACACAGCTCTTAAAACAAGCAAAGTCATCTAAATGGAAAAGTCCATTGACTGGAAATGACTGGAAATGCATCCTAATAATCCTTAACATCCAAATGAATCAGAAGGTACAGGCCATCATAATCCAAAATCATTTTTAAAAAAAAAAACATTAATACACAATACTGATGTAAAAAATACTGTGAATTAAAAAAAATCAATTTTCAAGTTATGAAGATTATAAGTTGACAATAGTCATTTTGACTGTGGCAGATAGAAGTATAATAATTTCAAAAACTGCTATCTCAGAGTAATTACATCTATTTCATACTCAAAATCATCCTCAGTGTTTTGAGTTCAATTTACATGCCCTTACTATGCAAATTTAAACCATCCTTATTTACAACGACGAATCCGCATACAGACAGGAAGTTATACAACTTGCCTCGTAGTGTAACCGGAACAATCTGGAACTGAACACACTCAAAACAGTAGAAATGGTGGTAGACTTTAGAAGAAACCCTCCCATACTACCACCTTTTACAATACTAGACAACACTGTATCAACAGTAGAGACCTTCAAATTTCTAGGTTCTACTATATCACATGACCTAAAGTGGACACCTAACATCAAAAATGTCATCAAAAAAGCACAACAAAGAATGTTCTTTCTGTGCCAACTTAAGAAGCTCAAACTGTCCAAGGAGCTGCTGATCCAGTTCTACAGAGGAATGATTGAGTCTGTCATCTGCACCTCTATAACTGTCTGGTTTGGTTTTGCAACCCAACAGGAGAGACACAGACTTTAGAGAGTAATTATGACTGCAGAAAAAACAATTACTACCAACCTGCCTTCAATCGAGGACCTGTATACTGCACGAGTCAAAAAGAGGGCTGTGAAAATATTTACAGACCCCTCACATCCCGGACATAAACTGTTTCAACTCCTTCCCTCAAAACGACGCTATAGAGCACTGCACACCAGAACAACTAGACACAAGAACAGTTTTTTCCCAAAAGCCATCACTCTGCTAAACAAATAATTCCCCCAACCCTGTTCAACTATTACAAAGTCTACACTACTATTACTGTTAAATCTTGTCATCACTCATCAGCCATCCCCTCCCACTTGTGACTGTATGACTGTAACTTTGTCACTTGTATCCTTACGATTTATATTGGCTGTTTCCTAGTATGATTGATTGCTTATTGTACCCTATGAGTATCATTAAGTGTTGTACCTTATGATTCTCGACTCCTGATGTATGTATCTTTTCTTTTATGTATACTGAGAGTATTTACACCAAGACAAATTCACACTTGGCCAATAAAGTATTCTAAAGTATTCTATTCTATTCATCACAATACATTATAAATCTTCTTTTACCTAATAAATTAAAACAACTAAAAATGAGAAAATGAAAAAACACTATTTCTTTAAACACGTCCATGTAAATATCTTACTTACATCCCTCATCATTTTTGCTGCTTCTTTAATTCTTCCAAGCTTTCTTGCACACATAGCTAGTCTTCTTTTCACATAAACCAATACATTGGTGTCTCTTCCTGAAAAGAGATTCATCTAATGTATCATTGTCAAAACTAACCATTGTCTCTGAGATTTATTTATTTAGCGTATGACAAATACATGGACTTATAGTAGTTCAAAATTAATATTTTGTCAAGGAGCACCACAGTCACATTGAGGGGTAGAGACAAGACCCCACTTAAACAATGAGTCCTGGCAGATACCACGTTGGATACGGATCCTGTTCAGTTGACCAATGCTGGCGATGAAGGTCAAAACCCGGCACCTTTTGTGTAGGGTCATCTATATAACTTCCCATTTGGCTTTCCACTATGTGTTGATGTCAAAATTGTTAGGTAGGGGTATGATGCTAGTTCGCCTTCTCATGGTGCATCCTGGACAGCATGGAAGTATGAACCAAACGACTAACAACAATTGGCAGCCAGACTACATTGAAGAATTGGCATTAATCAGAGTTTTTTCCCCTGACACCATCTCTCTGCTAAACAAATAATTCCCTCAACACTGTCCAACTATTTACAAAGTCTGCATTACTATTACTATTAATCTTCTCATCACTCCTTATCACTCATCCCTCCCACTTGTGACTGTATGACTGTAACTTTGTCACTTCTATCCTTATGATTTATACTGTTTCCTAGTATGATTTGATTGCTTATTGTACCCTATGACTACTATTAAGTGTACCTTATGATTCTTAACTCTTGACAAATGTATCTTTTCTCTTATGTACACTGAGAGCATATGCACCAAGACAATTGTGTGTACAATTGTGTAATTGTGTGTAGAATTACACTTGGCCAATAAATAATTCTATCTCTGAGGTTTTATTTACATATGCACAGTATATCTTATTATTTTGTATAAAGATACTTATTGACGATAAAAATGTAAAATGCAGAGAATACCAGTAAATATTACATGTTTTACTTTCATTTTTAATACTCACTATACATGGGATTCTAATAGAATACTATTACACTGGGTGAAATACATTTTATGCAGATGTTGCTATATACATAAAGATTGTGTTTATAAAAAATAAAAGAGATATTCTTTTAAATTTTCATTCATTCATCGTTCTTGTAACTTTGAATGTTTGCTGGACAAAGAATCATTGAGGAAGATGTGATGGCATGTGCACCTGAAGAAGCAGAGGGGAATGTTTGAAGCATAGGTTTCTTAGGGAAAAGTCAACCGAAAAGGATTTCAGAGAAAATCAAAAATTAAGGCATTGTGCTGGATGGGAAAGGGGAAAAAGTTTCGGAGTAGCCACACCCTAGAATCTCTTAGGCTATTAGGGTAAGAACTTTAGTTTGGAAAATAAACACTGAAGCAAATAAAGCATTGGACTCAACTGGATTTCACTGTGTCATCTTTGGACTTGACAGATTATCTGTCAAATGGACACTCATAGGTTGCTCAGTCAGATCAATTTTACTGCTTTCTGTTGCAGTAAAATTAAAATGTACAATAATCAGTTCTAATCTAAGATTTACAATTTTTTTTTGTAAATTTTATTTGAGTTTTCACAAAGAGAAAAAAAAATACAAATAAAACATCTTTTTTGAAAGCAGCATAATCCCAGGCTACATTTCTTCATACAGACACAAATTCAGGTTCATGCTCATTTTTATATTCTATTTCATATCTTATTATTATTTTACATTTTCTGCATAGCTTCTCCCCTCTTTTAATTTTCTCAATTTTATTTTAATTATCTCATCTCAATTCAGATCATTGTGTTTATAACTTTTGTCTGTCCTGTTTCAATTATCTATTATCTTTTCTCATTAAACAAAATTTATCCTGTAGTTACTGATTGGAGTATGACGCCTTTATATCTTTTCCCTAAAGTTGTAACATTCAATATAATACATAACTTCCATTCGGATTCTGCTTGGTACATTCTTAAAATACACACTGTATTCTTAAAAAAAGAAAAAAATTATAAATGTATATAATTAAAACAACATTCCATTCCAATTCAATTCTATCATTAATATTAATATTCATTAAAGTCTTAACATCTTTAACATTACTTTTCAATTAAATATCATACTTCTATGGGAACAATTATAAGCTTTCCATAGTTAATTCCCCCCCTCTTCACTTATATTTTATAAAACATTAACTAATTAAAATGTTCCCATTCCTTCCTAATTCAATTTTCTCATTTATTTTATTTCACTTATTTTATTCACAAACATTTCACTAAATTACACTAACTATTTTATCCCTCATTTTAATCATACATTGTTTCCAATTTTCTAAAGTTATTTCTATTACTGATATAACAATACAATCTTATGTACCTTTACAGAATCCCTTTTTCAATTAGATTTTCACCCATTATCTCTAAATAGGTCCTGTTTCTCTATATCTTGCTCCAGTCCTTTGTAACTTCTTTTCCTTTCCTTCTTCCCTCTCTTCTTCTCTCTCCCCTTTTTACCCCCTTGTCTCTCTACCTCTATTTCTCTCTTCTGTATTCCCCTTTTCTGTTGCTTTCCAGTATTATACTTATTTTTTGAATTATTTTTCTTTTCTTCGGTTGTTTTTTAAGTCTTAAATTCTCCATTCTCTTTCCCCCCTTTCCTTTTTCTTCCCCACATAGAATTACTTGTTCATTAAAGATGGCTTTTTCTTTGTCCCAGTCTTCTTGTTTTGCAGTCTTTTCTTGTTGTTTCTCATAGTTCCAAATCTCCATTTCTAAGAATTGAAAAACGAAGCCAAAAGAACCCTTCCCTTCTTGTGCATCTTCTTTGTACTTGTTAAGTTCCATTTTCAATTCATCCAGAAGAGGTGCCATTGTATAAATTTTTAAACAACCACCCGATTGATTTTAGTCATTCAAATATAATAATCAAAAATCCAAAGATCACCAAATAATCCAAATACACGCAAGCTGTTTCTTTTTTGCTCTTTTTTTTCACTTTCTCTTCCTGGGGTTACTATTTAGTTGCAAAGTTTCAGTTAAAATGTATCTTTTAGAAGTCTTGTTGAAGTTTTACTTTAGATTCTTTTTAATTCCAGGCAGTCTCATCCCTCTTTCAGATCCTGCCCTTATTCTTTTTCTCTCCCTTCCTGCTTATGAAAAAGAAAGTTTTTAATGTCCAGAAATCTTTATTATCCCTTTGGCATTTTGTTTTATTTTCAGCTTAATTGCCTATTGATGTCAAAGCGGATTTTTCCGATTTCTTATTTAAGTCTCTTAATTGTCAGTAGAGGGAAGGAGAGAGAAGGAAAAAAAAGCCAAACCTTTCCCTTTTTACTTTCCTTCGCTGCTTCAGACTCTTCTTTGGGAGCGATGTAATTTTTTGTAGGTTTAAATTCCAGGGTACCTTGGTTGTTGCTTTTACAATTTAACCCGGTCAGCCAAAACGTTCACTTCTTATCTTCCTCCTGCACATTCTTTTCCGGTCGAGTTCTTCTTTGTTGTGGCCATTTCTGACCACCGCTGCAACCGCCTTCGGGAAAGGGAGTAATGGCCAGCTGAGGAGGAGAAGCGGCTCTCCTTGACCCTGCTGGCGGTCTCCCCCCTCTTCACCACCTCTATGGGGTGGCTAAGCCCCGAAATCAGCCAGCTCGGGGCGCTCCAGCGGCGAGCCCAGACAGAAACCGCGCATGATCGCGGATTTCTATCTGTCGCCGAAGCCCTTCAAACTGGAAGACCTAAGATTTACAATTTTGTGTTATATTGTTTTTAACTCCATATCAGTGAAAAAGTATTAGCCTTTGTGTTAAAGATTACAGCGAGACCAATCTCAAATCTACCGATTTTAAACAATTTGTGCAACAATACTTACTAAGCTGTGCCTCATGGTGTGGATTTTGTGAACTGCTATGCTGAGACTTTTTATAAACTGTTTCTCCGGCCCTCAGAGCTTGTTTAAAGTATTTTTCAGCTTCTAAAATAGTAGTTGCTTCTTCCTCAGCCAGAAGAATGTATGCTGTGGCACAGCTGAAAGGAAAAGGGAAAATTCTGTAAGCCACCCAGTGAGTCATATGGTGTATTAATAAATAAACAACGAAATATTGTGTTTAAAGAGAAACAAACTTAGGATTTATTTTGAATTTGGATATTATAATAACAGCAATTAAGATTTTCTGAATAGGAAATTTGTAATAAGTCTGAGTAAGGCATGTGCTTTCCTAGTTCACTCACTGAAGTTAATATATAGCCAAGAAGCATATGTTGACTTCCACTGTGCACTTTCTTTTAAAGAACTGAATGGCAGAAACACATCCAGTTATCTTCACATTATCACTTCATACTTCATTTGAAGAGTTCAGCCTCAAAAAAATATTGTATCTTATTTAAAGAACTGAACAAGGGACAACTTATATTTATGCCTTATATTTAAACTGAAATTCTAAAATTCAGAATTTTAATTAAATTCTTTTTAGACCATGGGTATACCAACTTTTTCACTTGCCTAGGCCACATAGAGCAAAGAGGTTTTGTCTTGGCCCGCGTATAAAGTATATAATATACTTAACATATATAAATAACAAGCTTCCTTTATTTTTGTACATTTTTTACAATATCTTGTGGGGCTGCATTAATAGCTGTCCTTGGGCCATAGGTTCGACACACCTGGTTTAGAATGAGCATGAAAACTTACTCATTATTTAATTCTAAAGCTTGATATGCTGCTTTGATTCGGGCCTGAGGATTCCTTTCCCGCCATGCCTTCTGCATAACTATTTAAACATAATAATTTATATAAAAATTAGTTAAATATTCATGCAAGAAACACATTTCAGAAAAATAAAACTAACTTTAAGAGAATACTACACATTTCTGTGAAAATTAATGTCCAACTGAATTTTATGTATATGTTTTCTAACAAGAAAATGTTTAAAAAGTGATTAACAAAAACATACAAAAGTAGCAATTACATTCCTCACACACAATTTTGTTTTACAAATGATCCTAATTATTTCTTTCTTCCTGCCAGTAACAATAGCAATAGCACCTAGATTTATATACCGCTTCATAGTGCTTTACAGGCCTCTCTAAGCGGTTTAGAGCTACATATTGCCGCCAACAATCTGGTCCTCATTTTACCAACCTTGAAAGGATGGAAGGCTGAGTCAACCTTGAGCAGGTCAGAATTGAACTGCTGGCAGTCAGCAGAATTAGCCTACAATTCTGCATTCTAACCACTACACCACTACACCACTAAGGCAGGCAGTTTGTACTAGGTGACGTGAATTTGTTTCTTTCTCTTGCTTTGCACTGAGGTTATTTAGCTATTATATAAGAGTACTATTCTTAGATTCCTGCTCACTTGGGAGGGGATAAGTGAGAGAGATCCTCAGTATGGTAGTCTGATATAATAGCTAAATTCATTTAAAACAAAAAACAAAGGTCTAATTGTGAAAAAAAGTTATAAGCAAATGACTGTGACCTGAAAAAATATCTACACCTGTCCTGATCATAAAAAAAATCATGGCTTCCGGTTTCGCGTGGCTTCGGTGGCAGCAGGAATTCGCGACTGTCCGCGATTCCTGCTGCGCTTGCCGCCAAGTTGCCCCCGATCCAAATGGGTCAGGGGGATATGGCTGCCCTGCAGAGGCAGCCGAAGAGAGAGGGGAGCCGGACAGAGGGTTGGGGGTGTCGCAGACCCCCTCCTCGTCCGGAAAAACCCCTTTTTCCCGAGGTGGTGGAGCGGCGGTCAGTAATGGCCGCCACGAAGAAGCCTGCAGCCGGGAAAGATTGTGCTGGAGGAAGCAGGAAAAGTGAAAGTGCTGGCTGAGCTGGGTCAATCAACAACTTTTAAACACCCTGGGAACTGAATCATTTGAATTGCTGGAAGATGCATTGTATCCCTAAGAAGATCGGAAAGCAGCGGAGAAAGCTGTCAAGGGGAAAAAACTTTTTTTTTCTTCACTCTCCCACCCCATAGAAACAACAGACGAAGATTTGGAAAATTTATTTGGGCACTGAAGGTAAATTATTTTGAAAGTTAAAGCCAAGGGATAAAGGATTCCTGGACATTGGATTTAATAAGTTAAGAAATTGGAAAACCCTTATTGGAGGTATGGATTTCTGAATACTTAAAAGAAAATTGTTGTTGTAAGTGGGAAGGGAGAGGAAAAAAAATTGGAGCAGAAGTTGAAAAAGGAGGAGACTGCCTAGAACTTCAAAGAAAGATATATTGTAATTGGATCTCTTTGATTAAATAGTAACCCCAGAAAGAGAAATAGAAGAAAGAACTTTGGTAACTTTGGAATTTTTTGCAATTATTTTTGATTAAAAATACTTGGGTGGTTGTTTTGGAAAAAGTTTTTCTCTTCATGATGGCATCGCTTGTGGATGAACTAAAAATTGAATATCAAAAATATAAAAAAGAAAAACAAGATGGAAAAGATACTTTGGGCACTCTATTTCAATATCTAGAAATGGCGGTAAGCACTTATGAAAAGTTGACTACGCAGCAGGACGACTGGGACAAAGAAAAAGAAGAAGCCATCTTTGATGAACAATGGATTCTTTTTGGGGAGGAGGAGAAAGAGGAAAACAAAAAGGGGATTTTAAGGTTTGAAAAAACAACCAAAAAAGAGAAAAATGAGATGAAAGGTGGATACAAGGTTAGAAAACAACAGAAAGGGAGTAAGAAAAGGGAGGAGGAGAGACAAAGGGGTAAAAAGGGTAAGGAGAAGAATAAGCAAGAGAGAAAGGAGGGGATGAGAAGCCTTAATGGTGGGAAGCAAGACTTAAAGAAACAAAGCTTATTTAGAGACAATGGGTAAATCTAATAAAAAAAAGGGATTCTGGAAGGTACATAAGATTGTGTTTTTATATGTGTATTTAGAGTAAAATGCTTAAGATATAAATGAGTAGCAATATATACCGTGTTTCTCCAACAATACGGCCTCCACCAATAGGAAGCCCCAGCATGATTTATTGGCATAAAATCAAATTAAGCCCCTCCCCCCAAATTAAGGCCCATATTAAACATGCGAAATGGGGGGGGAATGGCGGGGGGGGGCTTGCCGTTAGGAAGTACTTTGTTGCATGCCCGGATATGGTGCTGCCTGCGTTGGTGGAGCACTTCATATCGGGAGACCTTCCACCACCGTTGCTTTTCCTTCTCCCTTGCTGCCGTGGCGTTACAGCAACGCCGCGGCGTTTGGCGCAGCCACGTGCAGCCAATCAGGGCTCCTCCCTGCAACCGGAGCCCTGAGGAGACACTTGGCTTCAGGCACTCCTGTGGCCGCTTTCCCTTTGCCTTCGAAGGTAAAGCAAATTATTTTAAAAACCTCCGCTCATCCCATCAGGGCCATGCCAGAGCCGTGCGAGCTGGGCAGAGCCGGGAAAACGAGCCGCGGGTGTTT